AAGACTTCATATTACTTTATTTTACAATCAATGCCAATGGAAGCAGCAGTCAAGGCATCAAACGACGGATTGCATTGGGCAAATCTGTTGCAAAAGACCTCTTTCAAGTGCCGAAGAGCAAAGATACCTCCTTAAAGACTAAGGTGCGCCTCACCCAAACCATGGTATTTTCAATTGCCTCATATGCATGTGAGAGCTGGACAATGAAAAAGGAAGACTGAAGAAGAGTCAATGCTTTTGAGTTGCATGTTGGCAAAGAATGGTGAAAGTACCATGACTGCTAAAATAACTAACAAATCTGTCCTGGAGGAAGTGTAGCCAGAATGCTCCTTGGAAGTGAGAATGGCCAGACTTTGTCTCACCTACTTTGATCATGCTGTCAGAAGGGACCATTCTCTGGAGAAGGATGTCATGCTTGGGAAAATGGAGGGTCAATGAAAGAGGAGAAGGCCCTCAATAAGAAGAATTGACACAGTGGCTGCAGCGATGGGCTCAGGTATGGTAGGGATCATGAGGCTGGCACAGGACTGGGCAGTGTTTCGTTCTGCTGCACATAAAGTTGCTTTGAGTCGGAGATGACTCGATGGCACATAACAACGACAACCTGGTCTTTGACCTAACTATCAGTAAGGAATGGGTCTGCACAAATACACACACACATATCATATATACACATATCTTTGTACTGGGCCACAAAGTTAAATGCATTTCTAACTGGGGTTTTCAATTTTAAAAACTGTCTAAAAGCCATTGCACTACAGTATCTTGAATAGGGAGACCCACATTCCACTTTACCCAAGACGGCTCCAGTTTATGCCTATATTCTGTCAAGGTTAATAAGAAGCTTGTTTGTTCTCCAAAGTATCCCAATTTGGCTAAAAATTATAGTCACCTTTCTTCATAAGCCACTTCAATTCCCTTTTTACAGCAAAGTACAGCACAGATAAGTATGCCTGATGACCAATAAACCATTTCTTTTTAAATGAAGAGAATGAATTTGTGTTATTTGCATGATCAAAAATTACTTTAAAAAAGTTATCTCAGTTACTAATATTGTAATAACTTTGCTACTCATTCCCTGGAATTATAAGGTTATTAGGTTTTCCATCACATGGAGAACACTGCTTTTGGAAATAAACACCATTGCCAAAGGTAACTTTAAAAAAAATATGGGAAAACCTGAATACAACTTGTCAATACAATGAATGCAATTTTAATTTGTAAAATACACAGCAAATGTTGTAAAATAACTAAAAGGCTAATAAACACATTCGCTTACTTGATTTTAGGGAGGAATACTCCCGAGGTCTTCTTGTTTCTCAGTTGTTAAATCAAGCAGACTAATTTCCTTTATGTTTACCTTTTAGTAGCCAGCCAGCCAGCCACACAGTGCCAGCTGATGGCATTTATACTCCTGGGAGCAGTGCAGACTCAGTTTTGGTTTCCAAATTCTCTTTTTTGACAGCACTTACTACCACATAGATGATCTTACAATAGCCAGGAGGCACAACTATTTTTTGTTTCACTTTCCAGGTAACAGACCCCATCACCAAATGATTTGTTGTTGCAATATAACCATGTCAAGGCTTTCCATTTTTTTCAATGCAAGGTTTTCCCAAACTTCTGTTTAGGAGGGTTCGGCTGCCAAGTCACTGACAGCCATACTAAAGTTAAGCCTCTACCACCCAGCATCAAACCTTTCATTGATCTAAAAGACGGGAGAGTCAAAGCAAACCAGTGGTTTTATCAGTTGCTGCTAAACAATTCAAGTACTTAAATGGATACAACCAAACAGTAAGGCTCATTTTTCCTTAAAGTCAAATTTATCAAGTTCTTCCCAGAACCGGGAATTTGGGAGCAGCAGGGATTTCAGGTCAAACAGCATTGGCAGCCTATGTGGAGGGGTGTGTTTTAGTTCCACACTATTACGTCACGGAGGGCCCCGGACATGAGTGTCCAGCCGAATCTGTACCGATAAGTGATAGGAAGAACTCCATACACATAATGTTCAGCTTCTACTCGGAGGATTTTAAATGTTTCTGAATTGAGGGGTGGGGGATGGGGATCAAGATTACCTTCCAAACTGGCTGATAGAAGAGTTGGTACAGACATCAGCTAAGCCAGTGGCAGGTTACTGCTTTAGGATTAGAAACGGCTCAGGAAGAGGGTTTCTTTTTTCTCAGGCTTTTTCAATTTTTCAGTAGAAACTGAAGGATGGTAATATGCACAACTCAGTGAAACTGACTTTGAGAACATTAACCTGCACGTTACTAACTACTTTTGTCTTGTTTTAAATAATCTTTAGCAATGTTCAAGAAAACTTTGGGTGGCTATCCTACACAATCTTTCCCTGCTATCAGGATTAATTCTCAATGCTGCTTTCCAATTTACGGCTGTTATCTACGTTCACACATAGATGGGTAAATTTACATATACTTTGGTGTTTATCTTTTAACAACTGAAAGTTCAGGAAGCAAGGACCTTTTTTTAACTTAGTGATTTTTCTCCCTACCCACTTTATATATGGGTGCTTGGTAAGTGCTTGGTGATCTTTCACATATTTTAAAACAAGAAAGTAGGCTTTATGCAAGTCTATCTTTATTTGTAAAAAATAATATACAACTAAAAGCTAATCTGATTATTTAAAATCAAAGTCCATTTAGTGATAATGTACATTTTGTAATAAAATTGTAGTAAAATACTGACATTTGATAGTTTAAACAAAGTATATCATTCATGTAAAAATCATGTTATAGCATGTAAAATTTAATTAGAAAATTCATAGTTCACAAAAGTACACATATTTTGTTGCCAGCTCATGAAAACATTGTCATAAATTTACTTAAGATAAGAACAAAATTCACAGTCAGGCTTGACATTTAGTACTATAAAATTTTATGCTGAATCCACTGATACTTTCAGTTAGTAAGGTGCACTTGAAATAATCAATTCAGACTACCAGTGAATTGACATTTTATCATATAACCAAGACCTTTTGGTTTTACAGTATGTCTAATGATCAATTATATCACTGATAATCTCAACGACAGAGATCTAGTTGAAAAACCGCTGACATGTATTCTCAGGATAATGAAAATAAAAAGCACTAGCAGCTCCAATTTACATTTCACAGACAGACACGGAAGATAAAATTTGTATTTTACAGTTAAAATTTGTACAAAAAGTCAAGCCCTAAAGTATTTTTCTCCCAAGAGAAAACTCTTGATGTTAAAACTTTGTTTAAAAAAAAAAAAAAAGAGAGAGGTAGTGTGTGAAAGTATTTGTACTTAAATGTTGAACCCCTGCACCGCTTACATTATAAATGAAATTTAACCTTCTAAACACTAACATTATTTTGCCATTCTAGAGTCAAACTTCTAAGACTCAGAACGTTAAAGCTGGAATGCCATTAAAAAACAGTGGTATATAAACAGAAGAATTTCAGTGAATTTAACAGAAACTACAGTCTATTATATAATGTGTGGCTGTTAATAGTTTAGTCATAATATTTGTAGCGGTAATATGAACAAAATACATTTACGTATTTTGAGTCAAGTAATCTTCATTTAATCAAGACTTTATTTCTTCTCATATTTTTACCATAGAGAAAATATCCTTCAAAACGGAGTCAGTTGATTCTTCATTGTTTTAATAGCACACAATCGTTATAAAGGTATTCATACTAGCCCTACCATAAGATTAATTAATAAATAACTCTGGGAGGAATGTCCATAAGCCACAGGGAACTTATGTACACCGTAATATTCTTAATTTCTATGTACAAGCATACCATAGCGTTTGTGCATATTGTACAATGATACATACCAAGAAATCTGGCAAAGAACAAAGGTTAGCAGCTTCATTCTTAACTTGTTCTAAGTGGATGCACTAGAAAGTAATAAATAGCCTCATAAAATTAACAGTGATAAACTCTACCTGTTGAAGGTGGATACATCATTCCTTATAAAGTGTAGGCAGTGTTCCTAGAAATCTCATTAAAGAAAATGCAAATTTTTTGATAGAAAGTGCACGAGTTTGCTGTGTGTAAAAATTTCTTAATTTGGGTGCAACTCAAACTATCTGAATACATTGAAAGTACAGAAGCCTACCAACAAAACACACACAAAAGGAATGCTTTCCAATGGAACTGGGAATGAGGACAACAGGTTAAAAGAGGGCGTCTCCCCTATAACCGGTCAGTGGAACTGCTTTTTAAAATACAAATTATACCTATGTGGAATCAGTCTGCAAATAAGTAAGCTAAGATGAACAGTCACAGAATTTAATAATTTAGGACCACAGCCTCTATGTTTTTAACATGAGATGTAATTCCTAAAAACAGCCAAATAGTTTGATTTCTCAGAAATTAGGAAAAAATCCATTTCAGAAAATAATGTTACAATTAGCAACACAGGAACATTAAAAAATCAAAATAAAATGCTGGGAACATAGGAGCTGGGTCCCCAAGGTACCAAAAGACACAGAATCAGATTTCTTCACATTAAATTTAAAACAAACAAACAAAGAAACAAACAAGTTACAGAAAAAACCACCTGGGCTCTGCACAGCAGCTTAAGTATGCAACCACAGCCAACGGAAAGGACCCAGTCTTCCCTCCCCTACCCCTCTGAGAATGTGCTCTGGGATCCAGCTTTCCAGACAAAATAGGAAAAGCACGTCATTTCATTAGCAAAGGCCCCGTTTTCTCTGGACTTACATTCATCTCTCATCCACCAAAGCTGACATTAACAATTACCAAATAATAACATCTTCAGCTTACAATATTATTTTTCTCATGCCT